CCAAATCCCTAATCCCCAAAAGATCGGCAATGCACTCGTAACTCCCCCGTCGTCGCGGGTGTCCATGGGCGGCGCTGATTGCTTACCATCAGGTTTGCTCGTTTGCCGACCTATCACAAAAAACAACTCGTATTTACATAATAACTACGTGGAATGTATAGCTCGTAGTAAGGTTAGGGCATGAGCGTTCGAAACCTGGCAAAAACAACTGTAACCTTTTCTGTTTTATATAAACTGTCTATGATTATTTAGATACCACTGACATCTATTTTTATATTTTTTTGTTTTTATTGAAGTGGAGTAATCATCAAGTGTCTTTTCTCAGCCAAGATAAGACAAGAGAGAGTGTCACGCAACCTCATCTGAACCTCGACCCTGTTGAGCGTCTCTAACTAACCTCTGTGGTGATCTTGGCTCATTGAAGCACTGATATACGGTTAAAGAAAAGATCGTGAGTAGAATCTGGACTAATAATTTTGAATTACAAGTCACTGATTCGCTTAAGAAAACATGGACTCTGTTATAAAGAAAACACATTTATTCGCCAAATAGGCACACAAATACAAGTATATAAAAAATACCAAAAAATACATAATAAGAACACAGATATTTATAAATATGTCGGAGCGACGATTATTTTAATTGAATTTTGAAGGAGGTTTTATCACAATTCATCGGACGAGGGTACCATAAATTGTACTCTGGCGGAACGTCAAACTGGCAGTTTTGCGTGCGCATTATGTTGGAGAGGAGCGCTGTGACTGTCATCTGAGACGGATCGCCGACGTCCGTTATTTTTGTAATTTATTTGGTCTGATTATAAAATCCTACGCCCTGCGATGTACTGTGAAGACGATGATCGGGATGATGATGTTTGTACCAACCCCCCGGTGCCTTCAAATACAATAATAAAATAATAAACAAAACAAGAATAATACGACAAAAACGGGTATAAAGTATCAAAAAAGAAAAATAAAACGTTAAAATAATAATATTCATGTGCCCATGCCAAAAAGGCCTCCAATGCTAATGGTTAAACTTTTTAATTCACTAATGAATAATAAACTTTTATTTAAAAGTCCTATCCCAATTACCTCATATAAAGACGTACCATGTGTGACGTAGTATAAATTAAACAATAATTAAAAAAAAAACACCAATGCCAATTGATGTAATGAATTATTATTTCTGAATTGTTAACTGTTAACCCTTAAATATTTGATTCACACACGTCTGAATACTTCATAGCAAGAATTTGTAACACATATATTAATCTGACTTTCACATATAAATTAACGTTTATGTATATTCTGATGAGAATATATTCTTTAACACAACACCTAAAATACATTTCAATGAGGAAATAACTCAGCCGGGGTTGCGGGGTAAGCGCAATGAGGTACCGCGACCTCGGCACAGAGCAGGAGAAGGAACAGGGGGGTTTTTATTCAGTAAGAGTCTGACACTCCCTCCTGCCCGGCCCTGGGCGGGAGAAGTCATTTGATGATTTTCCCCTCACAAAAAAAAAATGAGGAAATAACAAACCTTATCCTGAAATATCAATTTTCTGCGGTACAAAACTGTTAGGTATCTGATAGTGGCTTGCGATCCCATTTTTTTGTGTAATTCTCCTTGTGACAAAGGCTGATCGATCGAGTGGGGCAGTTATTTACTACGTGAATAATGGACTTCTTTTCATTGTATTGTATCTCAAACTGAAAGGAAATGTATTCCTTTATAGTTCCAGAGTATTGTTGAATTATTAAATCGCCACCTTTTAGTTCGAAGGTGATAGCGGACCAAAGTATATTAAGCTTGAAGGGGCTTGGCACTCTTTTAAGACTTTGTTTTAAAATGTTATTTTGCTTATTTGAACTTCAATCGATTATATAACGATATAACATTTAGTTTTGTTTATATTATTTACAGATTTTCTTGTAAACTGAACTTTAAATTCTCTAGAAGTAAGTAATGTAGCTTTAGAACAAAGTTTAATAAATAATTTTGGATGTTACTATTAATATCACTCTATTTTTTACCATATATTCTTATTTTACTTAATTTTGCATTTCTGTCTTTTTGACACTTTTATTGTTTTTTATGTTGTATTTTTTTCATACCCGGCTTTTATGTCTAATGCCAAATAAGCGCATTTTTTTCTTTATTTATTTCTTTCTAAAAAGCGATTTAAACGAATTTTTTGAGCGTACAAGGTCATAGAGCATTATTTTACATGTACCTGTTACAATCTGGTGTGTATAACTAGTTATTGGAAAATTTCTGAAGATTTCGTGATCATTATTGTGTCTAATTGTGACACTGATGTAACGAAAATTTATCAAATTTTTGAATCAATACTAATATATAAGGAGGTAAAATATGTAAGTTTGTATGTAGGGGGTAATATTTGGAACCGCTGATCGGATTGCCAAAATTCTTTCACTGATAGATAGCTACAATGTTCCTGAGTGCTGTAGGCTATAAAACATCACGCTACGATAAAAAAGAGCAGCGGGTGAAACCGAGCGAGAGTAGCTAGTACTCGATAAAGGCGTATCTTAAGCTATTGCACATCTATTACGCCTATGTTACACAACGTGAGGGACTTACACACACAACATTGTTTTAATTTCAAGGACGTGATTTTCTAACGTTTTAAATTTGGAACCGTACGTCAATTCAAACTTCTAAGTTGCTATAATTTTTTTTATGTAGTAGGTATTTAAATTATTATTTTTTAATTGGAAAAAGTGAACTGAGTTATATAGTTTGTTGAGTTATAAGGGTTTATAAAACCAAGTTATTTTCAGTAAATTAATATATGTATATTGTAAGCACTCGAATTTTAAAAATCATTAATAAATTAATATACCTACATATTTCAAATCATCATTCATCAACAAAAAAACGACTATTTTTTACTTAATTGTAAAAATGTACGATTTACGTTAAATATTTTTTACCTACTTATAATACTTACTTAAAATACCCAGCTCATGAATAAAATCAATTCCCTAAATCATAAAATATAAGTAATATAATCACTTACTTTTAAAAACCAATCCTTAGTTCAAAACATTAATTCAAAATGTTTAAAAGTTTTCAAATCCATGACTCACTCTGAACACAAATTTAATAAACACATAAAACTGCACACACACACATTGTAAGTGGTCACACACAACATAGTTTGCACACAACACACGACCAAACGATTATAATAATTATATTTTGTTCACACAAATTCCTTATCGGAGTTTCGTAAACTTTTTAGGAAAGGGACGCGAGTCTACACCGCGACTGTTTCCGAAAAACTGAAGTGTTGTATGAAAATGTGGGAATTTTACCACGCATGCGCGAGGTTTAGTGGATGTGCAACGCTTTTCAATGTTCTGAACATTTCCTTTTGGCAAGGAAAACTGGTGATTGACTGATTACAGGTACATTGTTAGTTCTGGTTAGTGTTTTTCTTCCGTAGTTGTAGTTTTTCGATTTCAAATAGAACTGGAACGAATGGGCTTCTGTACATTGCTAGTTTTGGTTGCTCTTTTTCATCGACAGATTGTCGTTTTTCGATTCGGAATCACTCGGTTGGAACTTGAATGATAGGACTTCTGTCAAAACCTAGTACAGACCTGGAAAATTGCATGGTTTTTTTTTTGTTACAACTGTGGGTTGACTGGAGTAGATTACTTTGTTGTGTTATTCGATTGTATTTTCAATGAAGTAATAGCGTGCAAAGGGTAGATATTGGTTTCTATTAGGATAATTTTACTTTATTTTTCTGTAACTATTAATAAAACATGTTCAAACAGATTATTACATAAAACTACTCCTTGGTCAAAACTACACCATTTTTACAACATAATAATATTTACGAAGAATATATTACGATTGTAATCTTCGTTGTGTCTTTTTACACCCTGTATAATATAAATAAATTAAAAGGAAAGTCACAGTGACTTAAATTCTCTTTGTTTTCATCCGTTTATAATATTTCGTATATCTGGCATAGACCCCTATACATGTTCTGACTGTCAGTTTTTCATTTTGATGTCCACAGAAAGCTTTGGTTTATTTTGACAAAGTGAATAGCTATGCGGGTAGGTAAAAAGGTTTAAACCAGATTTATATTGTTTCGTAGACTTTTAGCTTCCCTTCTCGTGTTTAGTTAGAAAACATTTGACTGTACATAAAATGTTGGAATGGAATCACTCGGAAGATGTTCATGGAGATGGCAGTTTTCTTAACTTAATTACACCATTATATAGGACTAGCTATTCTCGCGCGGTTTCAGCCGCTGCTCGGCTCCATTTAATAGTAGCGTGATGTTTTATAGTTCACTAAGGAACATTGTAGCTATCTATCAGTGAAAGAATTTTCGAAATCCAACAAGCTTGGTTGGGCTAGTGGTCCCTTGTTCGAATTCAAGGTCTAGCTGGCCGCTTGAACTTGAATTATTGTTTTATTATATTATTAATTTTACTAAAAAACAAGTTTCCAAAATAACCAAATAATCGATTTCTTAACATCAAGTGACACGCCTACTTATTTGTAGGTATATAATAAATTCACTACAATATAAGAAAAAGCTTATTTTATTTTAGTTTAGTTTAGTTTTAGTTGTAGTGCAAAGACTAGAAGTGTTCCATTAAAAATGCTGTATTCTTTTTATTTCCTATGGTCTTGCCACGCGACCTGTTTTGCATAAAACGGTCAAGCAATTTGCGACTTTATTGGAAAATGCATGAGGACTTTTAACATTAGTTTATGTTACTAAAATCATTTTTACCTAAGTGCTAAACGTATTTTCTATTTCCAAACATAAAAAAACATGAGTAGTATTTTATTCAGTTTTGTGCTGTTCTGCCTATTACCTATACGCTCCTTTTTGATAAGCCAAAGTGATGGAAATATACGCTATTCAGCCGAACTCAAGGTGTATAAGATATCGTACACCTCGTGCTCCCCGGCTTTGATTCTACAGTCAATGTTAAATTTTAGTCGAAGTCGAAGTCGAAGTCGAAGTCGAAGTCGAAGTCGAAGTCGAAGTCGAAGTCGAAGTCGAAGTCGAAGTCGAAGTCGAACTCGAACTCGAAGTCGAGTCGAAGTCGAAGTCGAAGTCGAAAAGTCGAAGTCGAAGTCGAAGTCGAAGTCGAAGTCGAAGTCGAAGTCGAAGTCGAAGTCGAAGTCGAAGTCGAAGTCGAGTCGAAGTCGAAGTCGAAGTCGAAGTCGAAGTCGAAGTCGAAGTCGAAGTCGAAGTCGAAGTCGAAGTCGAAGTCGAAGTCGAAGTCGAAGTCGAAGTCGAAGTCGAAGTCGAAGTCGAAGTCGAAGAAGTCGAAGTCGAAGTCGAAGTCGAAGTCGAAGTCGAAGTCGAAAGTCGAAGTCGAAGCGAAGCCGAAGTCGAAGTCGAAGTCGAAGTCGAAGCCGAAGCCGAAGCCGAAGCCGAAGTCGAAGTCGAAGTCGAAGTCGAAGCCGAAGCCGAAGCCGAAGCCGAAGTCGAAGTCGAAGTCGAAGTAATACTCCTAATGTAACGAGTTATCGTGAGATACATAAATGTAGGTAGTTAAATCAAACACGCCACATGCAACGATTTTTTTATTTACACAGCCATAATATTAAAAGAAATTCATTCCAAAACACCGTAAAATAAAAATAAAGTGTGTTGTGAATAAAGTGTATTAAAAATGAATTATTATGTTTTCGGCTCACTCACGTAATAATTTGACGAGATACTCGACTAGTTTCAAGCCATGCTAGAGGCCCTTATTCATGAGCAGTCATGAGCGTCAGCAGAACTAGTAGAGTATCTCGTCAAATTATTACGTGAGTAAGCCGAAAACATAATAATTAAGTGTATTAAAATTACAAAAAATAGGACCTAAAACCTTATTCATAAAATAACCTAATAAATAAATTGTAACATAGCAATTATATAAGAAATACAAGATTGAAGAAAATTTAAAACGAATGTCAAATTGATAGGGTAACCGTTCCACACAGAGCATTTGGAACAACTCGTATCAATATAGTTCAAGGTATCATATATTAGAACTCGTAGCTGTTTGTCTGAAAATAAAAAATGAACAAATAACATTGGTTATTAAAAGAAACAAATCAAATATTGCGATCGCTATACAAATCAACGATGCTGTATATCGCCGCTCAAGTTCTAACAACAACTAACTCAAAACTTAAACTAATTAACTTTTCAGGAGACTAAAAAAAAATTCTCTATTGCGCTGATCATCAGGTAATCCGTCAGCTCGTTTGCCGATCTATTACACAAAAAAAAGAAGCCACGATATGTAGTTCTTATAGGCAATGGGACACTTTTATCACCACGAATAGGCTAGGTTGACCGGTATGATACGACTGCCTTACAGAAAACCAGTGTGAAACAAGACTTGCCTTGTATTTCACCGCGTGACTGAGATCGTCGCTGAAACTCCCCTCTTTCAATCACCAATATTCATATATCCAGTGCCCCGAAAACCGGCAATAGCCTTGTTGCTCCTTGGAGTTACTAGTGCCCATTGCTTACCATCAGGTTATAGAAAGAAAGAAAAAAAAAAGTATTTATTAGCCTCTAGGATGCACATAAGACACAGAACAAACAAATATATAAAAAGAAAAACAAAAAATAGTTTGCTAATACAATTTAAAAAAGAGTAATATAAAGAATAATATGATGCGTCACAAGCACGCGAAATGGCCCTCGCTCAGCATATGCAGCGACACTATGCGAGACAGTGTCGCAGCGCGGGACTTTAAGTGTGGGAGAGCCATGCTTCGGCACGAATGGGTCGGCTCGACCGGAGTGATACCACGGCCTCACAGAAAACCGGCGTGAAACAACCACAACGTTGTGTTTCGCCGTGTGAGTGAGGTTACCGGAGGCCCAATCCTTCCCCTACCCCAATCCCTTCCCAATCCCTAAATCCCCAAAATCCCAATCCTTAAAAGGTCGGCAACGCACTCGTAACTCCTTCTTTGTTGCGGGTGTTCATGGGTGACGCCGATTGCTTACCATCAGGTAATCCGTCTGCTCGTTTGCCGTCCTATCACATAAAAAAAAAGAAAAAGCGTGATTTTCAGCGATGGCCGACAACCAACATTTGTTGTAGTTGTTATCCATATGCTTGTTTTTCATAAGTGGACTGCAATAATTACCTTTATTTGTAAACAGCCCGTCAGCTAGTATTTCTTTTATCTCATCCAAGTCTCTTAAAGCCATTTCAAAAATAAAAAACGGTGTAAACAAATATATAGCGGATACAAAGATTTCAGTCATCCAGAATGTTAGTTGATACAATGTCTAAAATATAACAAGTTCAATAATGAACTATCTTCTTAGAATACTCCTATGTTGGAAAATTTGAAGAAAATAAATAAAAGTTCAAGAGAGCCCTGCCTTGGCACGAATGGGTGGCTCGACCGGAGTGATAGCAAGTTACGTTGTGTTTTGGCATGCTTCCCGTCTTCATTCTTAATTCGCTAATAGCCCACATGAGGCCAGCAACGCACTTGTAGTAGTACTATGGAATTTTATAGCTGGTCCCGATTGCTAATCCATCAAATTTTCTTAGTCAATAAGTCGAGTAAATCGGGAAACTGGGAGATTTGATATTAATTGTATTCAACAGACGAAGAAATCAATAGTTCAAAGTAAGTCTACATCACATTCTTCATAACAAATATTTAATTAAATAAAAGATACTTACCATTAAATTCCTCAAATAATTCATGTAAAACAAGTCCATTGTGATTTTAACCAATTCGCATAAGTAACTAGTGATTATCTGAAAATTATAAATATGTATTAAAAATTCCTTGTAATAAATCATCAGTAACCTCTTTTAAGACCCGTGGAGATTGTCGCGCGAGCTTTGACGCCTGGTGCTTCTCCTGGGTATAAGAAGGGTCAGTTCCTAACGCGCTTCGCCTTCATTGGGACCATAACTAATTCGCAGAAACAGGATACTGGGGGCCATAACAAATTCTGGGTGAGAGACGTGCCCACCGCTGATTGCTTTCCGTACGACATAGCGATGTTCAGACTAAGTAGGCACAACGCCTCCATAAGATCCACCGTAAATTCCGGATTGTCCTTACTGTTTTATTACCCGGGTATTTCCTTTTGCTGATTTTGAAACAACTACCTCCTGAAACTTTCGTATCCGGTAAGCACCTGCATCAGGTGGATCGTGGGGACGCTGTGGTTTTCCTCTAACCACACCTCAAAGACCGCTACAATAACAGCGAGCCCGGCCCTTGGTTGAATAAGCAATTTATTGGACGCTGCCATGCGCCGGAACTTATACTGAAACGCTGCCGTCGGAGTCTCCCCAGCGATACACACTAGTACGCATACTGAAAACGATGCAAATGCCTCTGCCTCTAAATCCCATCGTAGTGATCCAGTGCCTTTACCTGCAGGGTTACAAGCTAGCAAGTAAGCGAGCTCGAGAAATCAGTCGGCTACGCAATGCCAGCACCGCTACGCGCACGCTACTTATGAATAAAAGCCCCGTTGTGACTGTAAACGAACTTTTCTCACTTATTTCTTAAATCTGTTTTATCATAAATTAAACATAATTACAATACCTAATCATCATCACCATCATCAGTCTCGGTCGTTGACCTTGTCGCCAACGGTCGTGTTTAGTCGAACCTACTGTCGTGTGCTCTAAACAAACCAGTATTTCTCAAACTTTTACACCGATTCAAGAAGGAAACAAATAAGTGCGGTGCCTGTTATGAAACAATGTCAGAAGGTGTTCATTGCTCAGTGTGTAACCAGACACTGCATTTTCACTGTTCCGGCATTACCGAGGCTGGCCATAGAAAGTTGGGTGACAGGAGGCTCACTTGGCGTTGCTCGAAATGCAAAATATCCGGTCTCACTCAGACAACGAACTCACCAAGATCACCAAAACCAGAATCTGAGCCAACTATACTGAGTGAAATCCGTGCTTTGTCAGAAAAATTGGCTCCATTGGAAGGATTAAAGGATGAAATCTTGGCGATGAAGAGCGAATTTGCTGACCTTAAGTCGTCCCTTAGCAAAGAATTCAACGACACGGTTAAAGAATTCAGTGTTAAAATTATCAACATGGAGCAGCGCATTGTACTAATGGAAAATATGCAGGATCAAGTCAATCAGCTGCAGTCTCGGTTGGAAAAACTAGAAGAGGAATCGGATAAACAGGATCAGTGGTCGCGCATGAGTAATGTAGAAATAAAGGGGGTTCCCCAGGGGAAAAATGAGAATTTATTTGACATTTTGTCTAGAATCGGCGCAAAAATTAAGTACAATGTTCCGAAGACTCAAATAAATTTTATAACAAGAGTGCCATCGCCACAAAAAGACCGTGTAAAACCGATAATAGTCAGTTTCTGTAACCGGTACGTTAAGGAAGATTTTGTGGCCGCAGCCAGATTGGAATCGAAGACCACCCCTCTATCAACTTCTCAAATAGGAATGCCGGGAAACCACAGAATATATGTTAACGACCACTTGACCTTGAAAAGCAAGATCTTACTAACTAAAACTAAAAAGGCGGCAGCAGAAACAAATTTTCAATATGTATGGGTGAAACATGCAAGAATTCATGCCAGAAAAACGGACACTTCTCCTGTACTTTTTGTAAAATCGGAAAAAGATCTAGCAAAAATAGTATAATTTGTGTTAAAAACCATGTGATTCCACATGTCAATCCAATATTTGCATTTCCTCTATCAAAAGTTACTTGTATCGTAATAATACAGTTTGAGAACCGCATGCTGCAGTGTGCTACTCATGTTTTCCTGTTGTTGCATTTTTCGAACACAGTGTATCTGATTGAGTCGTTTCGGTGTGACGCTTGTGCAGCTAGTCAATTATCAAGAAAAATGAGCCTTATAACGTATACTATAGAACTTAATTTCCAGTGGCCCCTACTTGGTTTTTTACTCAATAGTTTTTGGACGTTCTTATCGTACTACCGCCTGTTACTTTCCGTGCCTACTCATGCGAGGCGTTTGAAGTTATTTTTAATTACACACGGTGCATTGCTGTGCTTCCGAGATTCTGATAAGTTATTACTTTTTACCCGCAGAAAAATATTCTGCTGTGACACGATCTCATCTTACAATTTGCTGAACCTGCTTGTTTTGTTCTATTTCCGTATACTTGTTATTGAAATTTATAATATTATAGCTCAGACAAAGAATGGCTACACTTAGCATTTATTACCAAAATGTTCGTGGTCTGCGAACGAAAACCAATGATGTGTTTCGATGTGTGTGTTCGAATTCCCATGACGTTATAGTGTTTACGGAAACATGGTTAGATGAGAGTATCAATAGTAGTGAACTATTTGATGGTAGATATCTTGTCTGGAGGCGAGATCGTGATTACTCTCATACCGCACAAAAACGTGGGGGCGGGGTTTTGATTGCAGTCAAAAGTGACCTTACAGTATTGGAGAAGCCTGAGTGGCGCAGTTCTGCCGAAGATATTTGGGTGACACTCATGCTGAAGAGGTCGAGGCCCCAGGTAACGTACAACCTTCATATTTGTGTACTTTATCTTTGTAAACAAAACTTGGGCAACTCATATAATACTCAATTAAGTAATTTTACCGTCAAACTTAACCAATTGCTTTTGACCCATGCAACGGATATTTTTTTAATTATAGGCGATTTTAATTTTGGAAATAACGTTACGTGGTCTTGTTGTATTAATAATAACAAAGAGTTAATCCCTCAAAACATTACGTGTCCACAAATCGTTGAATTCTTCGACTACGTTCAGACGTTAAATTTATCTCAATATAATGGAGAACGAAATATAAACGGTAGACTGCTCGATTTGGTTTTTTCAAATGACCATGTAACGGTTTCTGAGTGTTTCGATCCTTTAGCAGTGCCTGTAGACGTGCATCAAAAACCTTTGATAATCCAGGCAAGTTTTGTGGAAATTCATACACTAAGTGAAAAAGTGGCTTCCCGGTATCTTTATTCAAGAGGAGATTACGAGACTATTAAATCGGAACTCGATGAAATAAATTGGCATGAGTTTTTGCTTACAAAATCTTTAGACGATGCCGTTGCTGGGTTTTACAATGTATTATATAAATTACGAGATAATTTTATTCCATCAAAAACCGTAAAACCATCATCACACCCCCCCCTGGTTCAATTCAGCACTTATTAAGTTATTAAAAGAAAAGTACAAATATCACAAAAAATACAAAAAATATGGTAACATCTCGGACTATCATTCTTTCTCAATACTTCGTAGCAGAGCAATCAATTTAGAAAAAACCTGTTTTAACACGTATATGAACAAAATCGAAACTTCAATTGTAAAAAATCCCAAATCTTTTTGGACGTACGTTAAAAGTAAGCGAATCGGCGGCACTTATCCTAATATAATGCATTATAATGACGTCTCAGCTAGTACGGGTAAAGACATTAGTGAGCTATTTGCTAAATACTTTTATTCTACCTTCCAACAACCAGGCCCAGTAAGTTTTCATGACGCTAATATTTCAACAATCACTGAAACTTACAATAATAATGGAATATCGGGAATCGGCACAGTTGAAATTTCTCGATCTAATGTTTTGAAGTTACTTAAAACATTGGATCTGTCTAAGTCTGGTGGACCTGACAGCATACCTCCGATATTCATAGTTAAATGTGCTGATAGTATTGTTGTACCTCTTTGTATTCTCTTTAAGCGATCATTGTCAGAGGGTGTAGTTCCAAAAATGTGGAAGGCCGCTTTCGTCACTCCCATCTACAAAAAGGGTAACAAATCCGATATTCAAAACTACCGCCCTATATCTAAGATAAGCCTGTTCTCAAAAATTTTAGAGCGATTAGTCTATAATGATGTATACGCGGCATTAAAATGTGGTTTTATTGAGGAACAACATGGCTTCCTGAGGAATCGTTCTACTACGACAAATTTGACTTTATCATATGATTTTATTTCTCGAGGGATGGAGCAGGGTGGACATGTTGACGTCATATACACTGATTACAGTAAATGTTTTGATCGCATCGACCATCAAATGCTTTTGCAAAAGTTATTTATGGCGGGAATACATGGGGACTTATATCGGTGGTTTTCCTCTTATATACAGAACCGGACACAGGCTGTAGTTCTTCAGGGATACACTTCGGGTTGGAGTTGTGTTCCGTCAGGAGTGCCTCAAGGCTCAATTTTGGGGCCTCTATTATTTATATTGTTTATTGCCGAGATTAAACATTGCTTTAAGCACTCGTACGTCCTTCTATATGCTGATGATATGAAGGTACACAAAGTTGTGCAAAGTTTGTCTGATGCTCATGAGTTACAAGATGATCTTAACAGTTTTGAGGCATATTGCATTCGTAACAAACTTCAGCTGAACGTGTCCAAATGCTTTCATGTGACTTTTTCTCGTCTGAAATCTGTAATTAATTCGAGCTACACAATAAGTAATCAATGCATTACTAAAGTAAATAGTATTAAAGACTTAGGAGTCATACAGGACAGTAAACTTTTGTATGATCGGCATGTTGATGAGATAGTGAAGAAAGCATCGAAGGCACTTGGATTTATTATAAGAGCCACGGCCTGCTTTAAGACTCTTAAACCGATAAAAATACTTTATTGTTCATACGTACGCAGCCACTTAGAGTATGCTTCCCAAGTTTGGAATCCTCAATACGAGATATATAAGTCTCGTATTGAGGGTGTCCAGAGGAAGTTTCTTCGTTATCTAGATTTCAAAGCACAGCAATGGTCAGAGGACTACATTCACCGATGTAAAAGATACCATTTTCTGCCACTTGAGCACAGACGTCGGATTACCGATGTCTGTTTTTTAATAAATATCGCTAATGGCTCTATCGACTGTCCCGAACTTGTCGCAATGTTAGAACTGGGTACAAATAGGATTGCTTTTCGACAGCGGCCATTGCTGCATGTACCTTTTGCAACAACAAATTACAGACGTAACGCATTTACTCTCAGAGGTGCACTCACTTTTAACCAACTTCCACGTGACCTAAACATTGACTTATTTTGCACAAAGGCGAGCACAGTTAGACGACTTTTAACTAAATCATTCTTTGATTCTCAGTAGCGGTTCTCAAATTATATTGAGATTGATCTGGTATTTATTCCTTTTTTTCCGATAGTTGTAATAATTGTATGTGAGGGCTTGTCAATAGCAATTTAATAATCTAGTTTAAGTTATAATATTTAAGTACTATAAGTCTGTAAGCCTTCCGTAAGAATAAAAAAAAAAAAAAAAAAAATCATCATCATCAGCCGGAAGACGTCCAATGCTGGACAAAGGCCTCCCCCTTGGCTCTCCACGTCGAACGACAAGTTGCCACCTGCATTGGCTCCCCGCGACTCTGACGATGTCGCGGGGAGCAAATAGCCACGCACCTAATAACTTAAAAAAAAATTAAATTACTGTTTTTTTACCTGTATCCTTATCAACCGGATCGCGACATCGAAATAATTCGTTACTTTCGAGATTCCAATCATAAAACCTTTGACGTGTTTGCGTTTTTCAGCGTGACTTATAGTTGTTGACCGAAAACGTTCTTTCAATGACTTGCACAATATTTCTATTGATTTTTGATAATTTTCTGCTATAAAAACTACAGTTATTCGAGAAAAATAACATGATAGTATATCAAATAAATATACTAAGTTAAATGGTTTATGATAATTTTCTTCGTTCGTGACAGTGTAGAAGAATCTCATAAATAAGATATATGCAATCATGGAGTAAGTTATGCGATAATGCAGCTTAAAGACGTAGGTAATAGAGGATAAGTTTCTAGCGAATTCTATGACGTGTGCTTCTTCTACCACCAAAGTCACAACAACAGCAATTGCTTTCTCAAAATTCACTATTATAAATAAACATTCTGGGAAGTATGTATAGTTGATAAACATAACGTATAAGCTACTTATGAGAGAAAATGAGGAAAGTGCGATGCAGTAGAGTTTTAGTAACGTGCACAGGATATTAGATTCACTGCATTGAAAGTACAATCCAAATACTAGTCGTAACAATAGTATTTTGCGCAAGGCAGGCATAGATTCGACATTTAAATTTGAAGGAGACATTTTAAAAATCTTTCGATAACTGTCACACTTTTTTTGGATTCCAACCGCACTTAAAGCGTTGTGTAATGTAATACCTAAATAACCTAAATATACTTTGTAATAGAATTGAATTTTAATTGATCATGGAATCTACTCGAACACTACTACCTATAAATAGGTATAATGGAAAAAGTTTCCGTAATAAAGTATTTTTATTTATGTTACAGGTCGGCAAAGGAGTAGACGGATTACCTGGTGGTAAGCAATCGGGGCCGCCCATGGGCACTCGTAATACCAAAGGAGTTACTACGAGTGCCAGCCTCTTGTAGGTTGTTAGGGACTTACGAGATAGGGGATTTGAGGATAGATGACTATTGGGCTTCCGGTAACCTCACTCACACGACGAAATACAACATAAGTATTGCTTCACGCCGATTTTCTGTGTGGCTTTGGTATCACTCCGGTTGAGCCGGCCCATTTGTGCCGAAGCATGGCTCTCCCATACTTAAGTCGATAACAAACTTAGGAATTGATGTGTGATAAGACTTATAAGGTCAATCGAAATAAAAACCCATTTCACATACAGAACAAATAACATAGCCTTTGTACATGCAGTGCGTCGCAGTGACTAGGCAGACGTTGCTTCCTTTCGTAATCACCGCAATGGTGCCAACTGAAAACCAGCGTTAAGTTCTCACTGAGCCCAACTTATAATCATGATATTATCCCATGTCATTTAGATTCAGTTTTGTCTAAAGGACCTCTGCGCAATTGGTTCTGGTACCCTGTACGCCTCCCAAATGTCAAAGGACCTTGTGATCTTGTAGTTGGTAAAGACCAAACCGAGAGACAATCTTCGGCCATTTTAAGCGTGGGTTTGCAGACAGCGAGTATGAGTAGCTTGTCCCCCTTCAGAACCTCGAGCGTATGGCGCGTTGCGTTCCTCACGCACCTCAAAGATCAAATAGGTGATCACAGACGGGGCGCTATAGGGCTGATGTTCAGCCGGGGTTGCGAGGTAAGCACAATAAGGCACTGCGGCCTCGGCCTAGACCAGAAGAAGGAACGGGGGGAGGATGGTTAGTTAGATGATTTTTCATCACACCCAGACCCAGAACAACAATTTGTGGATGACACAAAGAAATGGTTCCGTGCGGGAATCGTAGCCGCAACATGTTGTACAGCAGCCAGTTGCCCAGACACCACACCATCCGTGCAGTTAGCTTATTCCAACTACAGCAAGTATTAGTTTCTATCGTATTAACCAATACATACCGTTGAATAAATTATTTGCCGCAGGATACACAGGAACTGGTATCGGTGGGTTTCCTCTTAAAATAAGACAAAAGCATTTAACTGTACTTCAGAATTACGCTTCCACTTCAAATTATGTCCCTTCAGGCGTACCTCAAGGACCTATTATTGGTCCCTGTTATGCATTATGTTTTCAAGTATCTTTAAGAAGGTCAAGATACACAAAGTAGTCGTGTCCTTATCTGATGCGTACCAGTTGCAAAATAATTTACTCAGATTTGAGGCTTGCAATCTTAACAAAGAGTTCTTTAAAATTTTATTTGCCTTTTAATAATCCCTTAGGTAGTCAGCAGACTTAAAAGTATATGAGATTTAGAGGTAGTTAACTCTGGGCGGAAACGAATTGTTTTATGATTATGTGAACAGTGGCGCTGCTATAATTATAACCATTCATTTTATTCATTCATTAACAAATTTGCAGCTATTATGAACACGTCTTGTGAAGTATGGAATATGCAGCGTGATTCACATAAATCTGGTAAACAAAATACTTTCTTACCTTGATATGAAACGCCTTAAAAAGAACAAAACTCTTCTTATGAGAATTAGCAGATGAACACGTCGATTTTTAAGAAGTGCACGTAGCTTTTTGATCAAGATCTGTACCAGTGTCACGAAAACGAGATGCCTGTCATCTCAATCAAAGTCAGTATGTTATTTTTAATATGATAGATCGGCAAACAAGCAAACGGATTACGTGATGGACGCAACTACGTAGAACCTTTTGGGGATTAGGGATTTGGAGATTTTGAGAATGAGGAGGGATATGGGGAGGGGAAGGATTAGTTTTTATGTAGAAGTAGGCAAACAAGAGTATGGATCACCTGTTGGTAAGTGATCAGCGGCGCCCATGAACATCCGCATCACCAGAAGAGTCACACGCGTGTTGCCAGCCTTTCCAGAAACAGACCGCGCGTTTTTGTTAAAATCAAAGGGAAAAAATAAAAGTTATTGATGATTATATGAATGATTTACTAAAGCATAATTTATTTAAAACATTACAAATATTTTAACCTTGAAACCAACAATATTTATTCAAAGAGAAGAGAACAATACACAAATTTTAATGCAATTAATATAATAATTGTAACGTAGCTATAATGTAATTGATTAACACGTTAAGGAAGCTAAAAATTAATTTAACTTGTGTCGGGAATCCGTTCCATACCGTGTATGTGGAAGAACTTGCTTCTATGTAAAGTAAAGCATTTTTTATGGCCATACTTAGATTTTCATCTGCAAAAATAATGTAACAGATTTATTGGTGATTATAACTGTTTATTGTAATTATAATCACGACGTGCTCGTGGGAACAGAATAAGTTATTTTGGGAATTTTTGCCTTTTGGAAAACTCTTGTACCTACTCAGTTGCATTGAGTTTAAAAGTGAGTCCGGTATTAAGATAGGTACGGTAATCCTTTATTATACAGCATCGACATATTCGATTTTTTTTAAATAAGTGTTTGTAACTTTTAGGGAACAGAATGTAAAGATCCCTAAGATCGGAAAAGGAGGATCCTCTGACTTGGCGAGGTTATCAGCCTGGCGGGCTTCTGACTAACTGTTGTATGTTGGGATTTTCTATTCGTGTTTATTCGCGCGCAAAATTAACCTGTGCGTGATTTAAGACTTGTTACGCCATCTGTTGAACATTATTGTTACTATGTTCTTCGCCACAAACTTGCTGTGTTCCGAAAATTAAAATTTTCCTTTGCTAGCCATTTATTAATAATTAAACTTACTACACAGCAACAAAGAAACTAAAATTAAAAAATAAAAATATTGTGAAACCTTTGACATTCGCTAAATGGTCTGCTAATACTTCTTTCAAGTTATCAAGATCGCTTACAGCAAGTTCCATTAAAATATCTCTTACGAATAAGTCCTAAAGGGAAATCCCAATCTCTGTTATCCAAGGCACCAAATATCGGAGTTCCTGAAACATTGAAAAAAATCGGTAAGTAATAAAACCGATTGCAATAACTGCTCCCACTTGACCAGTTGCACAAAAAAAAGGTCACCCATCTAAAAAGATGACGAATACGTAAGTAAGATATTTTGCAAAATTAATTAGACTACAAAGCTTACTTAAATAATTTGGTAGGTTCGACAGGTCTCAAACTAGCAGGAATTCATAAAAGTAAATCGCTTAAGCGATAGTTAATGATTTTAATGAGACAGTTGCTATAGGTACCTAATATTTAATTATTTTCTGTCCAAACACAACCATAATTATTACTATTCTAGCATACCAAAAAAAGCCCAAAATACCAAAACATATACTTACCATTTCAAATAAAGTGCAACGAAAAAAGAATACCGAAGACATTGTTTTAAAATATTCACAGATGTATGATACTATTATCTGAAATAGATAAAAATTAATAAAAACATTTTTTTAACAGCATTCAATTTAGCTCACAATAATCGAGTCATCTTGAAAATTGAAAAAAAATCTCTCAAATAATTATATTTATTGTATGTTCAGCCGGGGTTGCGGGGTAAGCGCAATGAGTCACCGCGACCTCGGCCCAGAGCAGAAGTAACGGGGGTTTTTAGTCAGCAGGAGTCTGACAGACCCTCCCGCTCGACCCTAGACGGGAGAAGTCATTTGATGATTTTCCCCTGACAAAAAAAGGTGGGTATGTTAGATGTCTTTTATACTGTAGGCCGATTTCACGATGTCAAGATAGCCACTATGTGCCAGATAAATTTGAAAACAAAACATAAATAATATAAACTATTTTTTTTTTATTGATTATAGGTTCGCGCTTGACCGCTATCTCACCTGATGAAAAGCGACGATTTAGCGCGCTTACCAGAAGTAACCTATTCACTCTTGACTTAAAGATACCCGGATTGTAGCTATCAGGAAACACCGACTCCGGCAAGGAATTCCACTCCTTGGCTGTACGCATGATGAATGTGCTCCCAAAACGTTTTGTACGTATATGTGGGACATCCACCATGTACCGGTGGCGCAATGCCGTACGTCTGGTGGTCTGATGATGGAACGGGCTAGGCGGAATTAAATTATGTAATTCCAACGCACATTCCCCGAAATGCAACCGGTAGAAAACCGACAGGCTAGCAACTCGGCGTCGATGCTCAAGACTTTGAAGTCTCGACTCGACAAGTGCATCGTCGCCAATGATCCTCTTGGCTCGCCTCTCAATAGAATCAAGCGCATCAAGTTGGTATCGGGCAGATCCGTCCCAAAGATGAGAGCAGTACTCCATAACCGATCGAACTTGCGCCTGATAAAGTTTAAGCAGCTGTTCCGGCGTGAAGTATTGTCTAACCCTTGCGAGGATTCCCAACTTTTTTGCAGCCAGTTGAGCTTTTGCTTCGATGTTTGGCCCAAAATTGAGAGTAGATGTCAGCGTTATACCAAGAAGATCAAGATGGTCAGTTATCGGCACGGATACACCCCGGAAAGTTGGAGCAGGGCTAAATTGACTCCTTTTACTGGAAAATAGACACGCCTGAGTTTTAGCTGCATTGAACCTGACCATGTTGGCATCGCCCCATTTAGAGACAACCTCCAAGGACAAGTTCAAGCGCCCAACCATAGCCTCTCGAAGAGGCTGGATCTGTGACCCACTAGCTCGTGCGCCGGACGTGTAACTCTCAACAACAGTGCTGTCGTCTGCATACCCAAAGGTACCGGGCTTAAGCAGGTCGTTTATGTGCAACAAGAACAATGTTAGCGAGAGCACTGACCCCTGAGGGACCCCAGCATTGATGGTCATTTGATTCGACGAGCAACCATCGATGACCACACGGATGGACCGGTCCCTCAGAAAGTCTGCGATCCAAACACACAATCCAGTGGGTAAACCGAATGAAGGAAGCTTACTTATAAGGCTTTCGTGCCATACCCTATCGAATGCCTTCGAGATGTCAAGGGAGACGGCAAGTGCTACCCCGTGTTTCTCGATGGCCTCACTCCAGATGTGGATGGCATACGCTAGAAGATCACCTGTGGACCGATTCCGGCGAAATCCGTATTGTCGGTCACTTAAGATGTCATTAGCTTCTAGGTATGCCAGGAGTTTTGTCTTACAGAAAATGGACGTTACTGAGATGGGCCTGTAGTTAGCTTGGTCAGCTCGACTACCCTTTTTGGGCACGGGCTGTACGTTAGCTTGCTTCCATGCATTCGGCACTTTTCCACCCTCAAATGAAAGCCTAAATAGGCGTGTCAGGATTGGAGTCAATTCTGGCGCACACGTTTTCAGCACGATTGCCGGTATCCCGTCAGGACCACTAGCTTTGTTCACGTCTAGGTTACGTAGCACCCTACGGACGTCCTTCTGATGGATGCGAATGTCTGACATACTCGTCTCACAACCATCAGGATAAGCAGGGGGCCGCGCGTCACCGGGATCTAGACGCGAAGATTCCGCGAAGAGGGAGGCAAACAGATTTGCTTTCTCCTCAGCGGTGTGGGCCAGCGAAACGTCGGGCCTCAGCAATGGCGGTAGTGAGGGGCGGCAGAAGTTCGATTCAACCGACTTAGCCAAGGACCAAAACGCTTTGCTACCAGCGGGGTATGAAGCAAGTTTGTTCCCGATGCGGCTGATGTGGTCGAAGCGAGACCTCCGCATTGCTTTCTTGCAAGACTTGTCAACACTGTTGAAGGCTCTCTTCTTCTGACTCACGTCACTCGCCTTACGCATGCGAGCGTCGGCCCAGGCCCGGTATGCTTCGTGTTTAAGCGCATTAGCGCGATCACATTCAGCACCGAACCAAGGACGAGCTTGGCTAGACATTGTCACGTCGGAGAATGGAATGTAGTACTCCATCCCCCGGCGCAGCACATCCGCCACAGCATCTGCGCATGACGATGGATCATCCGAAGAAAAGCAAGTAGGCTGCCAAGCATAACATGCGAAGAAAGATCGCATCCCAATCTGCTGACCTGTATCGCCAAATCCGCCTGGTGCCTCTAGGGCAGAGATCAGGCGGAGAATAGACTGATACAGATTTCACCAGACAGTGGTCGGAACTACCTAACGGTGGTAATATCGACACTAAGTAGCGGTCTGGATCTGTTGTCAGCAGAAGGTCCAAGCAATTGGCCGTGTGCGAATCAACATCCGGCACCCTTGTAGCTCCCTGGACCAGCTGAGTGAGATTTAATGCCAGCGCAAGCTTTCGCATCTCTCGACCAGCATGGTCTGTGCACTGGTATGGGAAGAGCCACTCCTGATGGTGGGCATTAAAGTCCCCCAATAACACCAGTTCAGCGGAAGGGTACCTCTGCTGAGCCGCATCCGCCGCCTCACTAAGGTACTGTGTGAGCCTGGTCGCCTCCTGATCTCCATTGTGCGAGCGGTAAACACAAGCATAGATAATTTTATCCATGCCTGTGTCCACCAGAGCCCAAAGCGTTGAGAATTTGGGATCCTCAAGGTTGCGGAGACGCCGATAGCAGATGCCGTCCCGGGCGTACAAGCACACGCCAGCGTGTGGTTTAAAATTGTGCTCCAGGGTAAACCCTGGGTAAGACAGATACGACACATCTGATGGACTTCTAATCTGCGTCTCCGAAAGAAAAAAGAGGGATGGTTTTTCCGTCTCAAGGTGGTGACGGACTGCTGAGAGATTGGAGTGCAGACCTCGAATATTGCTGAGGTGCACTTTAAGTGAGAGGGAGTGCAGCCGCTGTGTACCGTTTCTCTTTTTCTTGGACCTTGGCATATTATGAGTGAAGGAGGTATGAGGAGAAGGAAGTGAGATGGAGCCCTATGCAGCCAACCCTCGGTCGCGCACCGGTGGGACAGCATCATTGGAGTACTAGTCTGGAGACTGCGGGGACGCCCGAGCCCCCCCGGAAATGACCATCGGGCCCTCTCATCTGGTCGCCAACCAGCACGATGGTGCATTCCGGGATTTTTCGTCAGTTGGCGGGGCAGCCTTTAACGTGTGGCTAGCACATTACTTGGGCCCCCTACTAACTGCGGTCGGCCAGCGGTGCACCGTGCCTCGGATCCCGCTACCCTCCTCGCCTAGTCTCCCGATACGTCAATACCAGCGCGAGGCCGTCTGGTCTGCATGCATTGGAACCGCCACTTCGACCCATTTCCTCAGAAGTGGCTACACACGGCATCGTACCGGAACACGACGAGGCCGCTTGGCGGTACGTCTTTGCCCAGTGGGTGGTCACAAGCCATCGGTCGAAACCTACCACCAGCTAGTGTCACCTGATTAGCACCACCCGGGGACCACGTATAGGGCCTAACTGTGGGTATTCTCCTACGAACGCTGGTGACTCAGCCCCCTCTCTCTCAAATTCTACAAGTTTATCGAGTAAGTACTTATATGAGGGTCAGGCAGGGTTGCAGGTTGGGCGCAATAATGTACCACGGCCCCGGGCTAGAATAGAAGATTCGGATTGGTTTTTAGTCAGTAAGCGTCAAACTTCTACTCTCGCCCCACCCATGGCGAGTGGAGGAATCAAATTTGATGATTTTCCCCGAAAAAAGGGTGATAAAACAGGCCCTTTGTATATTTAATAAAACATAGCTGCTGACGAGCTAAGTGTTATTACCAAAAAAGCGTCTTTTCACTCTGTCTCTTTCTAAAATAAAATTGTATTCTGGAATTTAATTTTACAAAAAGAAACTGTAATTACCTTTACTACTTGTATCGTCTTAGTATTCTCAAAATGATTTGTCAGTTTCATAAAATCAAAAGTGAACTTTTTGATATGTTTACTTTTCTCTATTTCACTTAAATTCACCGTATTAATCTTCTTTATCAACGATTTGCAAAGATTTCGTACATATTTTTGATAATTCTCGGCAAAATAAATTAGTGTAAGTCGATTGTTATAACACCCTGTTAGGCGATGAGTGTAGAATAAGTTGTTCAAAAATATTTTTTCTTCTTTCGAATATAGTATTATAAAATTAGGTAATTTAGCCAATAAAGAAAGAAACAAAACATAATATGTCACACGACAATATTCTTGTTTTAATGTCGAAACAGAATTAAAATTAAGTTCAGAAACGAATGACGTCACAAATTTTTCTTCCGTTACCAATGAAATGACGATACCTGTAGTCAGTTCAACTATCACAAACAAGTCATACACCGTTGAAAGAAATTCAAATAAATCGTTTTTTGATGATATCATATCATAAAAGTGAGTATGAAGTGTTAAAAACATAAAAATACACCAAAGTTTCATAATTCTACGAACAAGAATGGAATTGCTACATTCGAAATAATAACCAAAAAATAATAATCTGTACCACAGTATTCCCTGCAAGGATAAATTAG